AACAACCTCTGGGCTGATCTAAGTCAGGGCACGGCTAACTCACAGATCGAACCCTGAAACAACCTCTGGGCTGATCTAAGTCAGGGCACGGCTAACTCACAGATCGAATTGGAAATTGTCATGTTAGGTTTTTCATTTCTGGTTTGTTCATTTCACAGACTGTTCGCAGCCATTCTTGGCCGTCCATCATCCCTAACTCGCAGATGATCATAATACCATACCCACCAGATCAACCAAACAAGTAAGTCCAAATACCTTAATGGTTATTATTATTTTAGTATAATCCTAGACTTGAATATAGAGTTTCTCGTGCTGTGATTGGTTGAGCGACCAGTGATTATGAGGTTTTCCAAAGTTTGCCAGAGTGGAAGCAATACCAAAACGTTTTTTATTCTAAAAATTTCGTCAATTCTCTGATATTCAAGTCTAAAATTATACTAAGAAACAAACTGTGATGGGATCCCTGAAAAAAAAAATCAGAATACCATTTTCTAATAGTTTTGAAGCTGCATAGCTGCACAGGAAAGCGCCAACTTAAAAAAATTCTTCTCACATATGATGGCGGGTCCGAGGATCAAACCCCTGACCTTACTGAACAAGGAAGATAAGATGCGACCTATCAGCAGCGCCCACCACATATGTACTTTACATTTTGTGTTTAGGAATTAAAAGTCACGTGGTCACTGATAGTATATATATTTAACAATCAGTATTCGCCGAATGCGAAGTGATTATCGGGGAATATTAACCGAGACGCGAGGTAAATATTCCCCAATAATCACTGAGCCTGAGGCAAATAATTGTTTTAATATAAATACACAGGTGATTCTTTCAAAAAAAAAAAAAAAAAGAAGATAAAAGGCATTTTTTTCCCGGTAACAGCAACAAAGCGGCTGGCCGCCATTTTGGATTTTCGCTCGAGGTGATTTTCGTGTGATAGTGTGAGTTTCTTGACCAATCAGCGCGCGAGATTTTCTATAATCACCTGCGTATTTTTACTAAATATACATATATGTCTGTTTATAGGTGGAAGTCTAAGCTTCTAGTCACACCCAGCAAGCTTGTTCTACTGACAGGTCTTTGTATGTTGGGTCTCTGTGCATTACTTGCTCTGGTCATAATGGTACTTCATTTGTTAGAAAAGGTAATTATTTCGAAATGTTGAACATTTGTACTCAGTCTGATATCACTATTACCATCACCAATACCATTACCATTACCAATACCAATACCATTACCAATACCATTACCATTACCATTACCTATACCATTACCAATACCATTACCATTACCATTACCACTATCATTACCAATACTATTACCAATACCATTACCAATACCATTACCAATACCATTACCAATACCATTACCATTACCATTACCATTACCATTACCAATACCATTACCAATACCATTACCATTACCATTACCATTACCATTACCATTACCATTACCATTACCATTACCATTACCA